ACAGTTTGCAAGGTCAAAAATATGTGCATGAATTCAATTCAAATTTCTATATAATCCAGTCACAATAAAGATTTCTTGCCATGATATTGTGGCATAACATTTTTCATAAGCCTAATCTGTGGCATATCGATTTCCTTCATCGATTGGTAAAAACCAATGCTCCCAAGCATTATTCCTTGAGTAAACAGCATTCCATAATTAATTATACGCTTACACATGAAATGGATGCCGGCAATCTCCACGCTTACGCGACTCATTAGTGGAGGGAATCCTCGTTGCATCGCAGTTATCGCACCGCCAATTTGCATGTCAAGTGCAAGTTCAAGTGCACCATTGAAATGCGGCGCGATGACAGTGTCATTCTCTCGACTTTTGCTTTGTGGCGGCTGCGGTGCATTATTATATCAGCGGGCATACTCATAAGCGAGTGCTATAAGAATAATCCCTTTAGTGGGCCTGACTTTTGTGAAACACTGTGTTGCATCAGCGGCGACCCCGCGTCCCCAAGCCATTGTTTACCCAAAAAACTGATAAAGTTATACAAGACAAAGGCGGGACAGAACCAGAACAAACGTTTGCAATCCAATTACAAGGTGCCTGTGCTTTTGCGGGCCACACGGCGTATACTTGACATAAGGTCAACTGGCCATCAAATGCTCATTAATTTGCCAATTGACGACAAGCATTTCATTTCCAATTGTAGCGTGAGCTCCCCCTACAATTTGATTTGCCAACAAGTAAATTATGTTGCCAAAAAAAAAAAACACAAGTAAAAAGATAAATGAACAGCGAAAAGGAAAAAACCTTGCAACCTTGCGGTAAGAGACACACTGACACACTGCCGAACGGGCAAACGGGCAAACTGGCAACGCAACAATAAGAAATCAAGAGTTTTTATTGTCTATGGGCCTGGTAGCTGGTGGCATACAAGCCAACAAGCCAACAAGCCAGCAAGCGGACCGCAAACGGCAAATGATTTATTTAATACAAATCAAAATTATGATTTGATATTTTTCGGTTTTTTCCCTCCGCTTTGTCGGGCGGGCGTGTCCCTCCAAGATCGATTAATCCAACGCGCTTGATTGCGGCCCAAAGCTGCAAATAATCCAGGAAGTGGTAGCATTTGAGGTAGGTCAGTTCAAGAGTAACCAATAAGACAAAGAAAAAAGAGAAAAAAAAAGGCAAGTGTAGGGAGCTAGCAAATTGCCTCTAAAAGCCAATTTCGAAGCCTTATGCTGCATTGTTGTTAGTTTGCTTTGTTCACGCATTTATTTGCCTTTATCTAGCGTTTATTTGCTTTTTGCACTTTTGAGGCAGTCGAAGTGCGTTCAGGGCCACCGATCTATAGCTCCGGCCGATCTGCTTGCGATCGGCGCACATTAGCAATTGTTGGCTGAAGTTTGTCCTTCTGTTGACATTTTGCACGCGTTGCCATGCTGTTGAGCCTACGCGAAAAACTCAGCTCTGCCCCGCAGATTTTCGAGTCTCGAGTGGGAAGACTTGGCTGTCAGCACCGATCAGCTCGGATAGCCAAAATGGAGTTTGCGGCGTATTGTTATTCCATTTTGCATCATGCAGTTTCAGAAATATTTTAATCCCCTTCTCAGCTCATTAGATTGCATGACAGACAGCCATCAATACGACAGTTTAACTCACCTCAAGTTCAATGCTGCGAGTAGCTGCAGTTGCTATGCATTGCATGCCTTGTATAATGCAATGTTGATGAGTTATGATCGCATATCCTGCGTGGCCGGCTAAACGGATTTATGGCTGCAAATTGCATGGATGGTCACAAAAGTGGGTCATGAGAATCCGCACACAAAGGCGCTGCACTCCGGCGCGGGATTACATAATTCAGAACCTTTTATCGGGATGGAAGTGGCAGAAAGCAGACGGGAAAACAGGTCCGGGTCTGCCCACAAGGGCAGTGCAACCTTCGGCTTCTTTTGGTCAGCACTGCGAGAAAACAACCAGATCTCCATCAATTTTGTTATGAGCTAAGCCAGCTATGCCATTTCAACATAATAGACGTTGGTAACTGAAAGCTAAAGCACGTAAAACGTGCCAAGCAAGTTGACGGACAGGATACAAATGACAACTCATTTTTCGCCGTGTAAGTGGCAATCACCACCTGCATCTGGTGGTGGCATCCACTTGAGAGCGGTGCCCGAAAACCAGTTCCAAGTCAAGTGCCTGCAACGCAACGAGCCCAAGTTTCGGCACTTCATTAAGGAAGCGACCTTGGCAGAGGCTGATGCCAGCACAATTTATCGCCGATGGAGGCAGGAAGACGATTCCGCCGCCGGCGACTGGGCCGCGATTCTGGACCTGGACTGGAAGTGGATGGGGATGCAACAGGTTGGAGAACGAGCGGCTGACCTCCAGGCATGGCGTTACATATAGCATATTTTTTATTCGAATGCGTGGCCATTGTGCAGCACGCTTTTAATTAAGCCGCCGCAGATCGAAATGTAAATGGCCAAGTGCATTTGCCTCCTTTCCCGAGCGACAGAATTGGGTTACAAATGTCTCGAGGAGAATAACAAGCTGTGCAGATAAAGCCAGAAAGAACGCTGTCATCAAGCTGCCCGACTATCAGATACCCCTTCCTCGCACTCTATGCGTAGAAGTAGCAGATATCCAAGAATATACTTTATTCATAGTTTTATTACGCTAAAAGGGTATCAAGTATGCTACAAGTAACGCATAAAAAGTCATTAAATATACATATGCTGTTGAAACAAAAAGTTATTAATACAACTATTACACGTATATTTAAAAGGCAAATACCATTCCAAGAGTAAAAACAGAATGAATTCTGGAAGCAGTAAACAAATTTCACTTGTTTGTATAGGATTTATGCAATATTATTATCTTTAAGTGGTATCTATATTAAAGTTTCACCTGCAAAGAAGCAGTTGGAATGCTCATATAGTTTTTTTATGTGTGGGGCTGGGCGCAATTCGGAAAAAAATCCGCAATCCACCCAAGTTGTGCAATTAAAATGGCAAGCGTTTTACGAGTTGTGGGTCCCCGATTTTTTTTTCTTAATTTTGGTTTTCGGTGCGTGCAACGCATTGGGGCAGGCAACGCCTGTCTCCGTGTGGGTTGGTCTCCGGGTCTTTGGTATGTGCAAAATGTTGTGGCCATAATGAAAAGACCGACATAGCTTTTATGGCCTGCCAGTTTGATGCTGATGTAGAAAGAACGATCGAAAAACAAAACAGAAAGGGAGCTGTGATCTATGAAATTGTGGAATTATTCTAGCAATTTGCTGCATGCAAGTTACCGTTGGGGAGTATGCCATAAATTAATGCAATAATAGCTCAATTAATTTCCCGAACACGACCCAAGTTCCCACAGCATATGGAAAACAAACATCGCAAAACGGAAGCGAAGCTGAAAGTGTGTAGCAATGAAAAGTTAAGTATACGTATGCCGATCAGTGATAACTTAATGCCGTTTATGAGTTGCGCAGCAATACGAATAATTGGAAGTTTAGCTGCCGTATCTTTCGGCTATCATAACCTATCAATGGTGTTTTGGGTCCGGTTGCGTGACTCAGGCGCAAAATGCATTTTCCAGCGATTAATCTGCATGTGTAGCCGCAGAGAATGAAATACGTATCTCTGTTCGGATAGCTGAATATTCGTATAGTCGTACATATGTGCGCAGCGGCCTTCAAAAATGGCAACAAACGCGACATTAAATTATGCGCCTAGGCCTATTATTTTATGCAATTGATAAATTGACAACGAGGTCCGCTCACTTTTGTGTTTTTCCATTTTTTTCGCAGTGAAAATCCGCTCACATGCGTGCCAAGTTTCTTGCCCCGCCTACCACACACCACACACCACACACCACATAGTGCATATACATATGTGGCATATAAAATCGCATAATGCCTGGCAACTTTCATATCGAGTGAACTTTTCGCTGTTTGTCATTCAATTTCAATGTCAAGGTTGCCGCTGTTTTAATGCATTTATTGCCTTTCAATTAGCCGCAGTCGCATCCTTGTCTAAATTAGCCGCCTCTGCTGAATTTGCTTACGCAAATTAGCTGATAACTATGCTGCTTTCGCTGAAATTCAGTGAGTAGTGGCTTACAAAAAAACGAACAATTCGATGGCGACGCACTTGCCGATAATAAATTCAATCCGAACTATAAATACCATTGCATTTGACAAATTGTATGCGATATTCAAATTTGTCTTTCGAAAGAATGGGCCAGAGTTTCTGCCAAGGCTGAATCAGATAGGCATAAATCATTTAACCCCAACTGACTGGACATATCGAACATGAAAATAGGCGTTTTCCTTTTATTTTATCGGCTATTCTAGATCGCGGGCATTTGTTTGTCAATTTTGGTTTTCGGCCTATGCGGCGTATGAGTGATGCTGAATTTTTTAATTTAGGTCTCACCTTAACCACTTCCTCGGGGGAATTGCATCCCAGCGTGATTCACTTGGCCATAAATCGATAGCCGACAGTTGCCTCGATTTGGTCACGCCAACAGCATCATCATCGGGCATCAGACGAACGGCCTCAAATGTCGCGCATTTTGGCGTGATTTCTAGTCGCTAACCTTGGCCTTAGAATGCGCTGCAAGCGCTTGCCAGCCGCCGATGCAGATGCATATGCATGCAACGATCGTCTAACGGCAGTTAGCCATTATTCTCGACTACTCCACAGCTGGTGCCTGGTGGCTGGTGGCTGGTGGCTGGCGACCCAGCCCAACCCATTCATCGCTGGCATTGCAAAACTAAAAATAAACTGCTAAGCCGAAAACAATATGCAGTAATACGACGAACAACGGTTAGGTTCGTCCCCGTCTGGTCGTCTGTGCGATTAATTGCACATTGATTACAGACAATTGCCGTGGGTAGAGCGAGAAAAACGGAAATACAAAACCAGATATACTGCTAAAAACGCCGGCAAGTCGCGCGTGAATCGTGTCAAAACCGCACTGAAAACGCCAGCAGCAAGGCGGAAGCCAGGTGTACAGATTTCGATTTTATTTTCAGGACCAGGCTTCGTAGTTAGGTGAGTTCAATAAATACTTACAGGCTAGGCAAACATGTGTAACACAATCTTTAGTTAGCAACTAATACAACTTATCGAACAGTAGGCGGAGGCGGAGAAGTAGGCGGGGCCGTTGCAGCGGCAGTGGCAGTAGCCCGCCTGCTAGGCACACGGGCAGCAGCCGCTGCCATAGGAATAAATACTACAACTTCAGCTGCCTCTTCTCCTGCTTCCGATCGCGCTGCAGAAGGAACTCGCGCCGCAGATCGCTGGATCGCATCTCAAGTATGCAGTTCAGCTTGTTGTGGATCTGCTCCGCCGTGTGGGTATCCGTGTCGAAGTCGTAGTGCTTAAAGCGAATATTGCTGCTTGAAAAGAGGCCGGATGAGTGACCCGGACTGCTGGGCGAGTGCGCAATCCCTGCACTGCCACTTCCCGCATTTAGGGTGGTTACGCTGGCATTGATCTGCGCCGAAGTGCAGCCGGTGGAGAAGGAAGGGGACGAGGAGTTCGACTTCAGCCAGATGCGCAACAAAGCCTTTAAGTGGCGTCGCTCCAAAATCTCGCAGTGGGCCACAAAATCAATTGGAGTGGATACGGGCTTCTTCTGCGGCCAGAACTTGGCATTCTTGCACTGATCGATCTCTATTCTCTCACCAGATATTCCCAGAGTCACATCGGATTTAAAGAACCTCTTGTCTATGATGTTCAGGCGGAAAGTACGATGCATGGGTGCTTCCAGCATGTCATTATGATTCAGCAGGCGCTTCTCGTACTCCTTTACATTGTCGAATGGACTATCGCCTCCTCCGCCTGCTCCCCCTGGATCAGTAGTTCCACCATTAAGGTTAATATTTTGCAGAGCCTTGACAGCCGCTTCGGCCAGAGCTGTCTTGTCCTCCACGGAAGTCATGGATTTGCTGCCCAGCTGGCTGTGGTAATCCACTCGAGTCACTGGAGCCAATGGTCGACGCTCTGCGAGGGTCAGTTGGGAGAAGCCAAACTTAGAGCAGGGTTCGCGATTGTCCAAGGGCGGGAAGTCCTCCATATCATCATTATCCTCTGTCATATATAAAGCGTAATGCTGCAGGGACTTCAAAGGAACGTCGGGATACTGTAAAGAGGTCTTGTAGCAGACATAACCAATGACCTCCTGGATTTTGGCAGTGGCTACGACGCAGATCTTCAACGGATAGTTGCGATCCGGCGCGGGAAGCATATTTAAAAACACGTTAATCCTTTTCGTTTGCATACCCACTTGGGAGGTGCCATCGAAGCGGGCGAATTCAATAAAGCGATTCTGTGTTTGCTTGGGACTTTTCGCCAACTGTTCAGTGAGCTGGCTCTGAACACCCTCATCTGATAGCTCATCGTCGTTGGCTTTCGGTTCCTTTTTGCTCAGTTGAGCTTTGCTGGGGGGCAGCTCTTTGCGTCTGAAGAAATCATCGCTGTCCGGTGGCTGCACTTCCTCCTGGTAGTTGACACTTTTGATGCGCGCAGCCCTCCGCTTGGCAATATCCAATTTCTCTAGTTTTTGGGCGGTGTTGGAACGAAACCGATGGGCGCCCACCTCCGGATACATCTGGATGTCAAAGGAGTGCGTGGACATGTCCTCCTCGTCGTCGCTGAGGTCAAGTCCCGGATAGCAGATGAAGTCCACTTCTTGGAGTGGCGCATCCGGATGACGGGTGTTCCGCTCCGGCGTTGTCCCGCCCCCCGTGGGCGCTGTCTTTTGCGACCGTCGCCAATGATAGTGATCTCCTCCAGCGCCTGAGTTACCGAATTTTCGCAAATAGTGTTTGGGCATGTCATCGCTCAGCATCACCGTCTCGCACATTCCCGTGTCGTCCGTGGATATGAAGGAGTTGCGGATGTGGGAGAGCAGCCAATGCTGGTTGGAGTAGGTCGCCATGGTGGTAAACAAAAGAAAGTCGCTTTTCCGAAATTAATTTCTATTTATCTCAGCATCTCGGGAAAATGCACTAAGGCGTTTTGATTATCTAGAGATGGAACATCGCGTTGTCACTGGTCACTTTTTGGGGGTGGTAACGAATAGCAGGCACAAATCACCGTTCCTAACAATACATTTAAACAATACTTACTACAGGTAATTCAAGGTAAGCTAATAAATTGTATTTGTTAATATAAATGAAGTACTTATAGTCGAAGTGATAATTATTTGGAATTCAGGTGCAATGTCAGTTCTACTGGTACTCGTTAAATCTGGTATATTTTTTGCCGCAAACGGTCACTCTAGACCACCATATGACTTTTTTCTGGACGCGAAAAACTGCAGAGTTACAGAATAAGTTAATTAAAGTGTGTTTTTCGCCACCTTACCTGCCGTTTTTCGATGTCCACTTCTTGAGAACTCCCAATCGGATTGAGTCGATGTGCTAGCCAACGGCGAAATGGCGGGCATGGAGGTAGATTTCGACGAGACGGTGGCCAATCAGTTCAGCTGCAAGCGCTGCGACCGAGTAAGTGTCTGAGAAATGTCTCCTATTACTCCGATCTAACCACTATCCATTGACGCAGACCTTCAAGAGCAAGCGGGATCAGACGTTGCATCGACAGGAGGTGCACAACCACAACAAGACCACCTACGAGTGCAAGCTGTGCGCGAAGAGCTTCTGCAATTCGGGAAACCTGGATCGGCACATGAAGGTGCACAACGATGTGCGGCCCTTCGTGTGTAACATCTGCTCGAAAGCCTTCGCCCAGGCTGTGAACCTGCAGAGACACTATGCGGTGCACAGCGGGGAGCGGCCCTTCACCTGTAACTTCTGCAACAAGTCCTTCACCCAGCAGAGCAACATGAAGCGCCACAAGATGACACACACCGGCGAGAAGCCGTTCCGCTGCCAGCGATGCGGCAGGTACTTCTCCCAGCTGGTCAACCTCAAGAAGCACAAGCTTGGTCACCTCAACGCCAAGCCCTACCAGTGCAACTACTGCGAGAAAGGCTTCACCCAGCTGTCCAACTTTAAGCGCCACCTGCAGTCGCACATCAAGGAGGGTGTCGATGTGGACGTGCCCGCCTCCATCCAGGCAGCTGCCGCCCTTGCCAGGGAACGGCTCGAGGCGGAGCAGAAACCGTAAGTACTTCCCGGCTGTAGAAAATCAAGGTGCCCTTTGATTAGATCAACCTGTTCAGACCTACCTCAAGTTGTCTATTCGACGCTGATTACCTACGGGTTATGATTAGACTCGGTGGTGTTCAGTGTGCAAAGTTCTGTTCATTTCCTTTTATAAGCAATTAATACTATATGCCTTTATAACGTATATATAGTTTTAACTTATTAAAATATTAATTGAGTAGGCTCAAAACAAACCTTGATTCTTCTACATTTGCTTGTTGTGCATTACCGAATTGACCGCATTCCATTTTCAGAAGCTTTTTCGAGTGCATGGTGTGTCGGGCCATCTTCGATACCTTCGCTGACTATGAGAAGCACGAAACCAAGTGCCATGAGGACCACGAAAGGGCACAGCTGGAGGTAAACCAGATGTCCCACATGCATCCAGACGACTATTTGCCCATGAAGTTCGCCGTGCCCGATCTGGATACGCACGAAATCATAATTGAGACTACACATTAATAATGGCGATAATGTTAGACAAGAAACCACGAAAACACACAACCCAACTCACACCTAAGCATACAAATAGCGGCGATTCCGTCGGAAAGATAGAATGTGAAGAATATTGCATTGAATATACAGATATGAATATATATGCAGGCCAACATAGTTCTCCATTGAATTACATCAATAAATGCAATAATTATGCAGATAAATATGGTGAATCCTTCCCTATCCCAGTCGCTAATCGACCCGATCTCTGCTGACATTGTTGCGTGAGCTCTTAAATCAGGCAAACCCGTCAATTTACGGACCCTAAAGACGTTTTAACTGCACCCTTTATGATGCCCAATTTTATGAGCATATGTATGATATTCGCTGGATTTTCCCGAGTCACATCATCAATTCTCTCGTTCGCAAGCCCCGAAACCTCAGTGCGTAAATTGTCGCTTTAATGACACATTTCGCACAGCCGTAAAACCGTTCCTTTTCCAGCTTGTCGGGCAAACATTCTTGCGTCATTAATGTGACAAATATGTTTGCCTAAATAGTCACGTTACTACTGTTGCTGAGAATGTTCGATTAAGAAAGGTAAAGGAATCGCCCGACGGGTCCATAATTTATACATGTGATTTCTCGGTTATTTGATTGAAACTAATTAAAGGCACGTTCCTGACTTGTTTACAAGCCACCAGTCATGAAGCAATAATTGATCACAAAGTCCTTGCTATCAGCATCCACCGCTCGCTCTGACCATGTCCTTGTGGCCGTCACAGTCATCGTTTTTGCGGCACTAAATCAAACTATTTATACATCTGACTCCCCGGACCCACTCTTCCGCTATTACAGAGAAATAATATTTCATGTCCACATCGTTGTCCTGCCACATTTTCTGGCTGCTCGTGTGTGCGCCTGGTTCAATTGGCATGCGGCTGCTTAAATGGTCACTGCTTGGGGCCTCGGACTAATAGGTTCACATTTATTAAGCTGCCCAATGTCATTTGTTATAAATTTATTATGGTAAGTGCCCTGCTCCTGATCTCAGCCCATAAGTTTAAGCAGTCAAGTAACGTTGGCAAGAAACTGCATCTGATTTATAGGATGCTGATCCCATCACAGATTACAAGTTCATTTAATTAAAATTATTTAAATAGTTCGGGAATGCAGCATGTTCTGTTTGCATAAAATAAAAATCCTGTTACTCCAATTGATTACTTAATTTATCTGTAGAAGCAAGCTTATTTATCCTTTTTGAACGTATTCTCTTTTTAAGCAGATAAATGGAGAACTGTGATTCCTTTTCAGCTTCTATTGTACAAAAAATCCATGCTGCAGATTTACGGTTTGTTTTTCCAATGAAATCAATAGCTTGTTCTGCCACGCCCCTTTTTAAGGCGCCGTTTGGGGATTTTAATTTTGTGTGTGTGTGCACTTTTTTATACAGTCCAAATATTTGCACGCCGAGATTGTGTGGCAATAACGGTCCGTTTCCCGGCCAACACTTGCCAGCCTTTTTTTGTTTTTGTGTATGACCAATTGTTTGCTCAGCAGCAGTGCGCAGCATGCAAATAATCACAGCCGAATCACAGCATGCACAAGCATTTGGGGGCGTGGCAGTTATGACGTCAGCCAAGGTTAATGAGTTCTGGGCTTCCTCATTTCCCTTTTTAATCAAACAAGTTGACAAAGGCAAACAGCATCATCAGTTTGGCACACGCAGTTGAGTCATTAAGGCCAACGCCTGGGGTTAGGCAAAGATTTTTTCTGGCTTTTTCCTTCGCTTAAAACTCCCCATCCTAAGAGCCAATTTCCATTCGACATTTCTTGTGCGACCCTCAGCCCAGAGCCACCCGCATAACCCACATTGATTTGGCAAATGCTCCATCCGGCGGCTATCATCACCATCACCATCACCATTAGCATTATCAGATCTCTGCATCCTGTCATTTGGCTTGCAAGTACAAGCCAAGCCACAAACTGTTGGCCAAGTCAGAATCAGAAGGTGTGAAAAGCCACAGAATGAAGCTCAAGCAGCTCGTTGCTTTTCAAGTTGCTCCTGTGCTGCTGATGTCGCTGCGGTGACGTTAATGTTGCTGCTGCAGGTGCTGCAACTGCTGTTTCTGCTGCAGCTCAGACCTTGCTAGCCGCACATTATGGCCACCAAGTGGCTGGCCAAACGAGAATGTCAATGGCAGGAAACGCAGACTCACATGCAAGTTGCTGGCGGAATCGTAACCGCCACTGGTTTTACCCACAATTTGCCTTGCCATAGGGCCACGTAATTGAGTTTTACATCTGCAATGGAGCTGCCAATTGCGTGTTCCCTCACTTTCTCCGGCTATTTTCCCCATTGAATGAGCCATAATTAGACATTGGCCAGCCGAGCAATTGAATTTTATTGCCGCAAAAAAAGTGCCAAACTTTGCCATTCGATTGTTTGCTTTTTCAACAGCGACGTATTAATACACGCCGGACATCTATCCAAATGAAGTCATTGCCAGGCAGGCGACCCATTCGAGTTTATACTATGTATAGTGGTTTTTGGCATTGTTTTGCTCGGCATTTTGCGTATGTCACTCACAGCGGATGTTTTGGCTGGCGAAACGTGACACCCACAGACTGCATGTCTGTCTGGGTGTCCATATCAGCCGCATACCTACAGTTTGGCAATGGAAATGGTTAACGCACACATATGCACACCGCCTGTCAAACACGCAAGCCGCTTAAACTAACGCCTGTAGTGCGTGTGTGTGTGTGTGTGAGGGAGGGAAGTTTCGGCCTGGTTAATTTGGGAAATGTGCCAAGCACATAACTGGCATGACTATCCGATAGGTGTGAAAATGCACTCTGGAAAAATCCTCAACAATTTTCAAATAATTGTTTGGGTTGTATTACTTTCAAGCTTTGTAAGTTATGCCCAAAAATCGACATTATTTTGTTCCAAACAAGTTTGTAAATCATATTATTTTATTTAAAATTGGTCTAAGGAAAACGTTTGACCAAGACCTTGTCATTTCTACTTGCGTCCAAGTTTATCTTTTGGCGTAACTCATAAACAATTTGTGACAACTTGAAATTATTATTAAACTTTTCAGAAACAAATGAGTCCACACGTCGTATGAGTAATAATACGGTTTGATGCCAAAATGCACGTAGTAACATTTTAAATTGAATGCCAAAAGAAAAGTAACTGAAAATCTGAACATATGATTTAATTTCCGTCTGTGTGTTTCTAGTTTCCAAACACTGTCACCGGCTTAACTCCGTTGCGGCACTCGGGGCCATTATAATTGCCATGAGCAGGCATTTTGCGAGTCATCAGAAACACCGGCCTAATCAGGGGGGAATTGGTTATGACTTCTGTCTGTCTGCCAGTCTGACTTAACAATCAGCAGACGGCAAGAAATAAACGTTGCTGACAGTAATGCAATTTGATCGGGCTGGACCTGGTGGTGATGGCTCATCAAAGGCGTTGAGTTACACTCGTTTAGTTGGAAAGCTACCCATTTTATTGCCGCCCATTTTGGGCTCGT